GCTCGTTGCCTTCCCTTATCTCCTCTTTCCTCCCTGCCAGCGTGGAGTGCCGTAGGCATGGCATCTGCTCGCTGCCCAAATACTTTCCTATCCTGGGAAGTCTCATTGCTGCCTTCAGCATTTATCATCGCTTCTGTCATCCCGCATCCCAGTCCTGGGCTCTCCCCTTAGTGCTTATGTGCCCAGGTTTGGGTGAACCTGGGGCTCGGCCAGGCCAGCCCTTGCCGGGGCTCCCGCGGGGAGGGTGGCCACCCGCGGGACGCGACCGCGGGTATCGCCCCGTGGCGTGGCCCCCTCCGGTGCCTAACGCTGCGCGCTGCGAGGGAGAATTCCCGGCTTTGTCCCTGTGAAGAAGCTGCGTATGCTTTAAATGTGACTTTTCTGATCGCTTTGTGTTGAATATTTACGCTTATTCTTTCTTCTGTTTTCCCAGGAATATTCCAGGAGTAGTGGAAAACGGTATGTATGTGTTGTGGCCATTCGAGGCCTTTTTTTTTCCCCCTTGGAAAAGTCAATAACTAATACTGGATTAAGTTTTCATTTCTTGCCATAGTTATCCCATAAGAAGAGGCTTCAATCAGTTATGTTCTTTTAGTCTTAAGCCCTCTCAAATATCTCGAGTTGAACCGAGCTTTGCATTGTGTGTACCAGCCATCCCAGTGTGAAGAATCTGTTTTGAAGCTAAGGGAGCTGATCCTGATGCAAAACTTCAACACTGTGAGCTAGATCAAGGTGCTGATGCTCTAAACTTGGGGTCAGGCCGCTGCATGAGATTTTAATTCGACTTGGAATGATTGCACCAAAAATAATGAAGACTTAATTTTTCTTTTCTTGGGATAATTATGTTCACTCAAACGCTTCACGTGCTAGGCAAAGCCGAATCTAAATTTGGTCCCCCTTTTAATCTTTTCGCCATATGTTTTTTTTGGAGCAAATTTAAAAGCCCTTCTGTTTATCCCTGTTCTGTAAATTTTCTTTAGAGGGAGTGGGTGGGATGCAATTGTCTGGCAGATCTCGGGGTGGGCAGGCAAAGCTCGAGGTCTCGTCTGCTCTGAAAGTTGTTCCCGCTGAAGGCGCGCGTGTGCTTCCAGGGCAGTGGCTTTCCCGTGCGGCTCCCTGTGGGGAGATGGTCTTGCTTGGGAGCAGAAGTGCCTTATTCTGGTTTTAACTAAACTCAGTTGTAGTTAGGCATCTTATTCCTGATCTGGATGGAAAGACTGGGCTGATTGCCACCTCTTCTTGATTGCTGTTGCTGTCAGTCATCGTTCCCACAAGGTCTTGACTGACTGTGTGAGTTCTCCTAGGTGCTTTCAGCACAAGGGTGGTGTAAATCTTTCACTGTTGTTTTTTTTTTAGGTTAGCGCAGATTAACTTTGCATGGAAATGTTTTATGAGCCCTTAGTGCCTAAACTGTGGGAACAGTTTTTAAAAAAAAATAAAAACAAAAAGCCCCAGACAACTAGAGAAGATGATGTTTAGCCGGTTTTTGCTCTGTCTGCCAGAGGATGTTTTGACTATCTCTTTTCCCCTCGCAAACGCATGCTGCTTCAGCGTGGGTTAAGCAAACGGGAGCAAAGCGTTCTCGCTCTGGAATAGCGCGGTCGCGCACGAGAGCCCCGCGGAGCGGCTGCGTGCCGC